AGCTGCACAGACACATAAGCATACTGCACACACATACATGCTTACGGCATACATACACACATACTTGCATACGGCATACATACATACATGCATACTATACACACAAGCATATTGCTCACACACACGCATACTGCACACACATGTACATGCATATACTACATACGCACTAGACAAAACAAAGTAATTATCAAGATTGGTTTTATTTTCATTCTTCCCCTCCCCCACTTTAATGAGTTACAATGAAAACATAACAGTTATAGTATTCAAAAATAAGAACTCAAGCTTAATGAAACAGTTCAAGTGGTGAGAATGTCCCCATGTGTTTCAAGGCTGGTTCATGGTTATTGGAGGAGTCCTGGGAGGCTTGGGTCTTTTTGGAGATCAGTGCAGGACTTGGCTTTACAGACTCAGAAATGGCAACTCCCTGCTAGTATCTTAGAAACACGGCTGTTCCTTTAATGGAACACACATTAAAGTTGGTGGCTAAGAGTTTATTTGCAAGGTCACAGCTTTGGGAGTGATGGGAATCACAGCTCACTGCATCTTCTTTTCCTCCTGTACTTTTTCTTACATTTCCCAGCCTGGCCAGCACTTTGGAACCTTCTGTTGGTTGGCATCTCTTTTGTTTCCATTCTCTCTCTCCTTTGGGATTCTATTCTTTCTTTACATTCTTCTCTGGGCTTCCTACTGTCACTTTTCCTGCTCACTGTTCCAACCTTTACCATGTTTTACATGACAGAGATAAGCAGACTTCAGGGGACGAGCTTACGCCAGAGGGCACTCATGTGACATTGTAGGGTAGAGCCCCTCCCAGCTGCCTGCTCTGGGTACAAAGAGTCACTTCCTTGCCAGCCTGGCCCCACAGGGGGAGGAGTTGGAGCCTGAGGGATCCAGGCTGAAACTTGCAACTTGGGAACTAACAGAGATGAGAGACTGGTTAGACAGGGGTATTGATCAAATGGGCGAGCTTATCAAGGATTCCGTTTTTCTGTCTTCAGAAAAAAAAAAAAAAAAAAAAAAAAGAAAAGAAAAGAAATATGAAAATGAAGAGGGAAAGGGAATCCTGTGCTGTTGATTTGAAACCAGCGGGTATTGAGGTAGAAATTTGTGTTTTCTAACATGT